ATTATGAAGATTAGATATAGAAAAGTATTAACTTTAGCATCTTTAGCCAAATATACCCTGGAATTAGAATGGACAATATTCTATTCGCGACCAGAAATAATACAAGAAAACGAAAATGTAATCAGTTGCTTACGTAATTTACATTTATGGTTTGGATTCAATATTTTGTAAAATAAGTAGTTTTGATTAAGACGTTAGGGAATACAATGTCAGAAGAAAATTTGACGGCGCTTGTCGTTTTTTCTACCGAAAAACTTTAGTTGAAGAAATTTCTGACTTCAAGAAAAAATTGATGAAAAGGTTCATTTCCGATAAAAACAGAAGAATTGAATTTCATTTCAGAGATCCCCCGGACCAAAATTTCCCGCCGCCACTATAGATTAGTCATGATATACATGAATACAAGACACACAAATCACTGATAAAGTAACTGACCATTACCCTGTAACAGATAGAGTAACTGACAGTAACCATTTTACTCCAAAATATATAAGAAACGTTTTATAGACAAAAATATTTTTTTCATTATATGTCTTCACGGATTTCTGATCAGCTATACCTTCATATACATTTTAGAACTTTTAAATATCTGTATAAGATTTATCCGCTTTTTTCTTCCTTGACTGGGGTAATAGTACTCAAAACTCAAAGCAAATTGTAATAGGCTGTATTTATACATTTAAATTAAAGCACAGCTGCTTTTACTGGCAAATAAATAGAGAGCATTCGGGTGCTAATTAACAAATCAAATAAAATATTGACAAGTTTGATATGTGTTGATTGATGTTTATTACTTAATTAGGAAGGATTAAATCAGATCAATCATACATTTTAATGATATTAAGCACATAGGTATACCTATGGAATACCAATTGCACCGAAATAATATAATTTTCGATATCTCTTGCATATCAGCTGCAATGCAGGTTAAAATATAAAGTTATATAAAGTAGTCAATTTAGTTTTCAATAAACCCATAACTCTCTGACTACTGGGCAAATTTGATTCCAAAATGTTTACAATGAAAATCTGCATAACTTTGCCAAGAAATTTTTTTTATTGTAGTGGGGAAACATGTAAATAAGAAAATAGCAGAAATTTTGATTTTATAATTACTTAATGAAATTTTATACTATGCACGTTTCCGCAAAAAATGTATCCAAACTCTTAATTTTTACTAAAATTGACAAGCAAAATGGCTTGAAGAATAATACGAACCCCTTCCCATATCAGTTGGCCCACCTATGGAATTTGCAGTTTAAGTCAATTACCATTGTTTTGTGTAAAACTTGGAGGTCGCTGGTAAATGAAATTAAAATAATAATGAATAAAAAATTCAATATTTTGACTGTAAATAAAAGTAGCGAAAATATCAAATATTTAATTGTGAATAAATTATGAGAATTAACTAGCTTTAACTCATTACTGATAACTGTACAAAGAATGTATTTGTAGCCAATGGATTAGCGTTGTAGTGTTGACCGTCGTGACACCATCCGAAGCGCAAAAAAAGGACGTCGTCTCGGTAGCAAGTGTTTCGCATTTTTAAGGATACAAATGTGCACCTACAACTTCCAAGGGGTGGTCAATGGTTCGTGGGGCAAGTGCATCTCATAAATCAACGCTATTGTAATGCGCCTTTGAATGGTGACATAATTTCCAAATAAAAGAAATCCAACATCTTCGAACTTAAAAACGGACATGTGCTAAAGCCAGTTTGACAATGCGATTTAACTGAATAACGGGAAACAATATATTTTAAAGCAAATAAGTTAGGATATACATTCTAATGACGTTGTCGATAATTGTTTGAGGCAGATTCTCACGCATTTTAAATAAAGAAGTTCTTAATTTATCAGTGTTTTTTGAATAGACGAAATTCTTGACCTTAGGTCAAGATTTCTAAAATTTCCCAGACATGATCAAAAGCTGGCTAATTACTGACAAGTATTTCCAATATGTAAGGCGAAAAGTACCACATGGTCTTCAGGAATATAAGTAATGTGCCTAGCTACAACTAGAGTTTCGCCATCTCACCAGCTACATTGTATGTGCTCTTAAACATAAGCCACTTCACACCATAATTCAGCTTCCTCCAAAAAAATTGTAGGCCTAAAATTAAACTGTTCATTTTATTCTCTTTGAGAATTGATGGACTAGTTCGCCTATTAATCGTGTTTACACAATAGTCATGCTCCATTACCTTTTAGTTCTTTCTTGATTGTATGACTTCAAACCAGTATGGCTTCTTTAGTCCTTACAATTTTACACTCACTTTTGGAGCAAGGAATGGCACTCCACATACCAATAGATCCCTGCTTTACAATTCATTTCTTGTAGAACTGCTATTTAACACCTGTTTATGAGTGTTTGCTCAATATAAATCATTGTTTGCTCTGTTAAGTGTTTATTGAATCTTTTAACATATTGTTCAGTTTCTCTCCCTGGTTACAATGGATCATCACTTTTGATCTTCGTCACAGTCACAGATCAAGGTGGTAAGAATAAATAAAGTCAAACTAATAATTAAATATTTGCCAAGAAAAAATTACAAACTTTAACAAACAGAAAAAACCATTTCAAAAGTAACATGACAAATTGCTTATGTTTAGATGTTGAGTTCCACTGTGACCTTGATTAAATATACAAAAAAAAACAATAGTCGTAATAATAATTTTAACATCTAAAAGTTCTTTTAAATTTGCTGGTATTTCAGATCTGATCAACTTTCAGTACATGACATATAAAAACACATTTTATAACATTAATTATCCCGTTTTTATAATGAAAATGATCTATTTGGCCCCAGAAAATTGTAACTGTAATTTGCAAATTAAAATTTTGGATTCTTATATGTTATGAAATAAAATCCACAAGCATAACTTTTAGTTGGCTAAACAAATGACAAAAGACTCCCGTTGAAACAGATCACAATTTACTTAACTTTGTTACATAAGAAAGCTGATAAATGACTTGATACTTGACTTGATGAATGGCTTGATAAATTAATAAAATTGTAATGTAATTGTATAAAAAGTGATGTGTGGCGAAAGTGAGTTAGTTTACAATGAAGATGGTGAAAACTACAAAACAATACTTTCCCAAATTTATAGAGGGATGCAAGCAAATGTCATTTTTAATGTAAATGAAACCCTTATTAAAATTTACAGAAATCTGTGAAGATATGAGTTCAGAAGATGAACTTGTTAACCAGTTACATGCAGATGAATAAATGTAAGCCACATGGTGCCTTCACCAATGTGTGAAATAAGTTTCAGTTCAGAGTATAAGTCTCATGAACGGACATCTGCACGCAACATGTTAAGGAAAAATGGAACAGATTTTTACAGCCATAATTAGGAGGACAATATTTTAATCTTATTAATAGTGCTAGCCATATGAAGGTTTATTTTTTCTTAAATGTTTTTTATCTTTATGGAATCAGTCAGTTCTAAACTGGTTGTACAGCAGCCAATTCATTTGGTGTGGCTGTCTGGTGATTTGCTGATTCAGTGTGGTTTGAAACTGTACTTTGTGTGTGATATTTTGTATGTGGAAGTGTATATAACATTCAATCAACAAATATACAGTTAATGATAGAGCCATGTCATGATCTCAGTTAATCCACAGGGGTTTATTTGGTAATATATTATTCAAGACTGTCCTATGTAGCCATAAGACTTTATCTATTAGCCAGTCTTCTACAGTTCTTCCAATTATGGTCTACCCCTGAATTCTCTAAGATGATTTATCATATTTTTCCATAACTGGAAATTTCTTATCTTAAATTTTTCCCTTATTAAATTTTTTGTATGTCAAACATTTTTAGAGAAAATAAAAATTTCACTTGATGTAGAAAATGATTGTATGATTTTCTAAAAAACTCATGTTTTTAGTTATGCTGCTTTATTATGGATGAGGCAATTTGATTGTTTATTTTAAAACTAAGTTTGCATTACTTTTTATTTTGCTATTAAGTATATATTGATCAAAAAATAGAGTACAAATTAATCTGGTAGATTAATGGTAGAAAACCACAACCTATGTGGCAGTTGTGACCTCAGTCATATAAAATTTTAAAAATTCAACAGTTCAGAGGAAAGGTTCAGTATGTAAATTATTAGAGCTATGAACTCCTGGGGCATGGTTGCCAAACTTAATGTATTTTCTTGTACTTGTTCCTTCACAATGTTTTCAGTCCAGCAAAATGGGTTTATTGTTTATGTATTGTTGATTTCATGAAGATTATAATTTGTACTATTTTCAAGCTTTTTAAAACTAAAAGCATGAATTGCTTCAAAACCATCTCAGCTGTGATCTACATCCAATTAAAATATGAAAGAAAGTCTTACAGATATGTGAGTGAACAGACTAAATGGGGAAGCATGGATCAAGGGGAAGCATAAAAAAACGTCTGCAGTAAAGTATGTACTATCAAAAATGTCAATGTTTTCCTTATAAAAAGTCTGTCTAGGTATATAAATATATAAAAATAAATTTTTTACAGGTATAAACCCATTGCTTATAACTTGTCCTTATTAAAAACAAATTATTTACAATAAAAATATCAAAAAGAAATCTATATAGACTATTGAAAATGCGACTGTTATTGTTTAGAAACAAAATTTGTTGTAATTGGACAAAGTTTGTTAAGTTTCTACGAGTTTATTAGATAGGTATTGGGCGATTTAAAATAACTAAGTAGTATATTTAAATACCCCCAACAGAAGACAAAAAATAACCACGTGTGGTTACTGGCGAATCATATACAAAAATAGTTTTGACACTTCCTAACTTTTTTAAATTTGGCTCTCCTTATATTCTTCAACAATTATTTCTAGACTAAGGTTAATGTTCTATACGTTTTACAACATTTCTGTACCACTCATCATCATAGCTTTTAATTAATCTAATCTCATTGTCTGTTCTGAGAAAATTTATAAGATGACACATGCATGAATGGTTGGGAAAAAACCGCAAAGATTTTAGAAAGTTATTACCTTGTAAACTTGTCCATAAGTGCCGTTCCCAACGACTTCGATCAGCTCAAAGATTCCTGCTGGGTCCTGCAACGAATTTGTTTTGATAACAAAAGAAAAAGTTGCGTGTGTTGTGTGTATATTGTGTGATAAAAGGATGATTCACACCCATAAAACTGACATGTTTACAGAAGACATTAGCACCAAACGGGCTAGTTTATGGTGCCTTTGAACTTCGAGAAACATGGATTTTATTTGAAACCGGCGAAATCTTACCTTTAGGGCTGTCAAGTCGATATCATCCAGTGAACAGTTCACCGACGGGGGCATTTGATGCGCCATTTTGATTAAGTTCACTCACTTAACAATCAAAATAACACCGTTCTTTTTCACGAACTAGTTTTACACTACAAAATTAGAAAAATACATTAAAGGTATATCCCTAGATTTGATAAAATCTAGTATCACACTGCTGTTAAAGTATAAAATGCATTTTTAGTTGGAAAACCCGTTCTCTTGCAATACACAAAACATGTTTTCAGACTTTTGGCGCACCCTTCTCTGTCGACGAGTAAACGAAGACAGAAAATCCAGTCGTCAGTCTGCTGAAAGTGTTGCCGATGCCACGACATTAACCGGCACAGTTGCCAGCATGTCGACGCATTTGATTATGACTTGAGTTACATACGACGGCTTGATACTAAAATAAAAAAATTGCCAACAAAAGAAGTTGACACTATTAATAAAACCTTAAATAATAAAGTTATTTAAAAAGTAAATATATGCTAAGTAAATAAAAGATAAATTAGCAACACAAATATATCTCGGTAAAAACATATAAATTTAATACAATCGGTAAAAAGAAATCATAATTAAAGTATAATATTTCCATACATCTTTTGTTTATTTTCTACTGTCTTAAAAAAAGCAAATCTTAATTTAATAATTAATAAACACTTGATTTTTAAGAGAAATTAAATCACAAATTAATTCAGTTTAAACCATCACAAAGTATTCGTAATATAAATTTTAAAACTGTTTTAATTAAATTTTAAAACATAATGCAATATCAAAATTTACGAACAGATAATGTAAATCGCTTAAATAAGATATATTAAAAAAATACATTTAAAATTAGTAAAATTACAAAAAGTAAATATTAACATAATTTAAGATAGTCATAATATGCATATAAGTACAATTATTATATTGGAAAATTTTACTTGGAACACAGAATAATTTTTAAGTAAAAGAAAAAGTGAATTTAATTAAATGTAAACAATATTATCTACCTCCAAAAATGTGCTAAAGTCTACCCTTATTTTATATTAAACTATACTCACGTCGATGGAATTTGAAGCATTGCCAGATTTTAAATGTTTTAGTTTTCAATATTTCAGACAGGTGGCGTTAAAAGGGTAGAAATGTGTACAAAAATCTGGGCAAGTAATGTAAGTCACCAGTAGATGGGGCGGTTTAACTTGAATTATATAAACAACTAAAGTGCAATAACCTCGCGTTTTCAAGAGTGTACACACTTTCCTGTTTATTTTTTGAATTTTTTCATTTTTTATGAGTTTATCATAATACCGTCGTAAACATTGTGTGGTAAGCAGATTATTTGTTTGAAGTACGATTTAAATTTTAAATAATCAACAAGAGATATGATATAAAATATTTGTGGAAGACTCAAACTAAAAATAGATGATGCAAAATACAATACAGAAATATGTATTTAATAGTAAATAAAGTTATTTTTGTATAAATCAATACATTTCTTCCCCACACGGATTATTAATTTGTAAAACTGATTATTCTGTAATTCTAAAACTGATTTAAGGTCTATAAACTTGTTACTTGAATATAAAATATTATCCACAAGGTAAATGAAATTTCTGTAGTTCGCTATATACCATAAATCACAAAATTTTTCAAATCATGAATGTGTTGCTTGTGTGAATCCATTTCAAATAGGTAAAATAAATAATAAATAAGACTTTTGGCTTTCTACAATATGTAAAGCATCTTCAGGTCTGTCGATACAAAGTTAATTAAATGCTGAAATAATAAAACCCATATTAGGGTGTTGTCTTATAAAGATAAACAAAAGATAAAATAATATAAATTACAGTAATTATTCCAACATTACATGTCTGTGTTTTTTTTTTAATGAATAAACTGTTTAAGCAGACAAAGTAAGACCCACAAATTGGTATAAAATAGTCTATTGAATTGTAATAAATAATAAAACAAAACATTACTTACATGCCGGTACACGATTGGTTGGGAGAACATAGTTCAAACTATCCTGTAATTGCTGATGATGGGATCTTCAGTTTTTTACTGTTGTAACTGTTGACAATCAACGGGGAAGTTTCTTGAGGAGATCAGATCTTATCCAATGAAGTAGAAAAATGTTGTAATGTGATTGTTTGTTAAATGAAAGTGATTTCTGAAATGTGTGTTATTTTTTGGGTTTTATTTTTAAGTATATAGTTGCCATATTCCAATGAAGGACATCTGGAAATTGTTCTATTCATACCTACTTTATAAAGGGTCATGTTGCTACATATTTCTGTCATAGACTCTCTGGTGTGAAATGGTTTACCGCTTTCAAATTTGACGAATCTAGTTTTGGAAATACCCGTTACGGAAGTCTTGACATATTGGCATCGTGTCACCCATTGTTTATAATCTCTTAATATAAGTACTAGGTCACCTGGAGCTAGATCTCCCCTTGATCTCAGACTGTGTTACTGCAGTGATCTACAGACTGTGATCTACAGACTTGAACGAATACAGCATCAAAGGAATTCTTTTTTCTACATGTCTTAATCAGCTCAACGTAAGTCTCAGGATTGTCAATCACTTCAATTTCAGTCTTTTCTTCTCAATGGCGCCAAAGTCTCTATCCACTGGCATCATAGAGTATCCTGGAATTGGATACCATATATTTCAATATTTTTAAAAATATTTCTTTTGCATAACTGGTCTAGGTAAGTAAAAAGAATTCGATTTTTGTTTTGGCTAAATACGTTGTCACCAAAATTTTTTAACTTTGTGTGCAGCGAATCTTTGTGTTTTTCAATATACCTAATCATCCAAGCAGGTTATAACCTCATTAGGCCCTTTTTGGGCAAAACTTTTCCGTGTCAGTATACATTGTTGTTTTATGTGTTTTTACATTGTGATTTCCAAAAACGTACAACCATAACTGACATATAATATTCATCTTGTGCTTTAGTTACAGGCAAAGGTAGGTTCTTTTCATAATCAAAACATATAATCATTTCAGAAGAATCAGTTGATTTTTGAACTTCAGCTACTTGTGATTTAAATGCATCTGATTTTCTAAGATGAATCTCCTTATCCCTTTTAAGTGTTTTTAAGGTTTCCTCATTAGATTCCAGTCGTTCATCTTGCCTTTTTACTAATCATTTTGGATAATTTAAATTTTATAATAAAACCAGAAGTTTTTATTTTATTGCAAGTTTAATTTAATTGTTATTAATTTAATTAATTGTATTAAATATTAATTAATATTCATTATTTTGACATAAACATAAATTTTATTATTAATATTACAGGAATTAGCCTAACATTTTGTGCCATCTACTAGTAAATGATTGAGTTAGTAAAATCAGCAAAGAAGAAAACTGTAATCGGGACGGTAAAGTTTGATAAAATCTGTAATTCACCATAAGAAACTCTTTAAATCGATAGAGAATCGGATGATCTCTGAATTAACGTATAGTATTTATTATGTTTATATGTACGTCTATGAAATATAGGCTCATTATTATTGTTACAGTAATCAGGAAAAGAAGAAAACTGCAATCTAGAAGTAGTAGTTCTATAATTGAAACTATATACATCAAAACTTCAGCAATCCGGGGAGAATCCTACAATCTCTACGCGTTTCTGGTTTCTGTTTTCCTGATACTACATCTTGTTGAGAGAAGTTGGGTTCGTAAACAGGCTTTCGAAAATAATTAAATTCCCTGATTTTTTTAAATAATATGTAGTTTTTTGCTAGCTCTAACGGAACTCAAAGGAACTCGGCTCGATCTTCAGTGGCTCATGAGAATAATATTGACATGTACTTACCAAAAGAATAAATTGTGAGGATATTATTTAGATAATGACTGCCTAAGCAGGGTATCTACTTATTATGACATTCTGCTTCTATTCTGTAAAATTTCGTTCTATTTCTTGGCGAAATATAGAATTTGTGAATTTAGGGTGAGTTTTCAACCAATTTTTGTTAGTTTAAATACTCGATTACTCACTAATCGATATTATTTTAATTGTCTGAGATGTGAATGAATAGTTTATATACCTGTTCGAATTAAATGATGCAGTTGCTACTCGCAATAAAACCAGCTGGTTTCAGTGGCTTAATATTTTTTAAACACCACCATAGAAATGGATATAGCCAAAGAGACATACCGAAAATGGTAAATAAATGTCCATAAACAGTTCAGCACATTACTGAACGTTACCAAAATGAAAATAGAGTTGAAAATATATCAAGGTTGACTCCAAATGAGATTTTTACCGAACGTGAGAGAAGATGGATTGTCAGAGAATAATCCTTAAAAAAACCTTTAATTAGCCAAAGAAATAGGCGTATTATATTGGTGTTCGCCAGAGAGCATATTAACAAAGATTTGAACTTTTGAAATTAAGTAATATTTGCTGATCAAACCAAAATAAACTTGTTTGGGTCTGATGGAAAAATATCGTCTACAGGAGTAGGTAATATGCATTTTATTGAAGGGAATATGAACCAATAAGTGTATTTGGAGATACTAAGGCAACATCTCACTGCTAGTTCTCAAAAATTAGGTATCAATAACAATTACCGGTTTTATCAGGACAACGGTCATATCATATCGGTTTCGTACTTGGTTGCTTTATAAGTAATTGCCGAAATATCATTAAAACACCAACCCATTTACCAGATTTAAATGTGTGTGGTTTACATTGCAAATTAAACATATCAAAGTGTGTGCAATTAAACATATCAAAGACAAAGATCATGATAGTGGATAGACTACACAACAATCACCCACACATAAACACAATTGACCGGTTCGAGGTTGGTAGCTCATACTTATATCTCGGATCATTAATCACAAACACAGGGTCATTACAAGAAGAGATTAAACGTAGATGTGATCTAGCAAAAGTTGCCACAGCAAAAATGACCAAAATATGGAAGGAATGTCAAATTTCAAGAGCGATAAAGATGAGGTTGATCAGCTGCTTAATATTCCCAATACTGACCTACGGATGTGAATCTTGGACTCTGAGACAATCGGAGAGAAAAAAGATAGACGCCACTGAAATGTTCTGTTGGAGACGAATGGTACGAATTCCTTGGACCGACCGTAGAACAAATAATTCAATTTTAAGAGAGCTAAAAGTTAGCCAACGACTCTCTAGTAAAGTCCATCTCCAACAATTAAAATATTTTGGGCATGTTATGAGAGCAAACACAGAAAACATGAAAAGACTCATAATACAAGGAAAGGTAGAAGGCCGAAGATCACGAGGAAGATCCCCAACAAGATGGATAGA